GACATTCCTTTCTATCCAACTCAAGTTTCAATTTTATGATAGTAGGAAAGGGAAACCAATATACATAAGACAGTCAATCTTAGTATTATTTCCCCTCTTCAGACTATGCTTGATCCCTGTATCACAGAGCCCTGTTGTTCCAAGGTTGACCGTTCATCATTTACCTCTGTCCCATTTAGCCCATGTGAACCTGTCTCAGTGGTCCCCGATGGAGGACATTCTTATCTTCCAGGTTCTCATACTGTTTCTGTTCTAGCTGAAGTAATTATTCTCTCTCCTTCCAACTACTTTTAGAGTTGAGACTTGCATTGTTACCTTCTTAAATAGCTCTTAAACTTGGAGACTCATGATGGTTGTACAGGCTGGTGTTAAGATTTTAACACAGCCTTGAACTTCTCTGATAGAGGATGCTAAACTCTGAAATAAGCCGTTTGTTTCAAGTCACTGAGATTCTCGAAGGTTGGGTCCCAGTCATGATTCTGTTTCTAACTACTGCTCATTGTATGTGTGTGTAGGGGGGTGGTTGCTACACATTTAAAACTTTCATCTTATTTATAGGTGGTATTTTCACCCTCCAGCTTGGGAAGCAGATGTGTATTTTTACTGCTTATCATGAAGAAAACTGAGGACAGGGTCAAGGGTCATTGTATTATTTGGGGAGGGATTCATTGGAATAGTTATGAAACCCTCAAAGCTCAAGCGATGTGATGCCTCTCAGTTTATTCTGAGAGAACATCATCCAAACAACTCTTACATGTCACACAATTCGGGAAAGTTATTGAAATCATAGAGTAGACCCCTTGGAGCACTCTCATTTCCAGGTAAAAGAACACAGACCCTGAAAGGTGGGATGTCTTGCAGAAGACCCCACAGTGAATTTGTTTAAAAGTTAAAATATAAGACTCGACTAATCTACCTGCCCATCAATGTTGACCACAGCTCTGAATGTATTAGGAGTTTCTACGTTAAAAACTCCTGGTGTCACAATGGTTAGGTGGCTTGTCTGTCAGGGAAAGATTGACGATTCCAACCCACCCAGCTGCTTTATGAAAGAAAGTTCGAGTGGTCTGTCTCCATAAAGATGACAGCCTAGATAACCCCATGGGGCAGTTCTACTCTGTCACAGGGGGCACTATGATGGGACTTGACTGCCCAACGCCCATCAGCTTTTACTGATGTACTCTATGATTATATTAATCAACCATTGATGTATAGCAAATGGTCCGAAACCTTAGTATCTGTTTTGTTGTTGTTAAGTGTTGTCAAGTCTGTTTGAACTCATAATGAAACCTGTATGGGGTTCTGAGGAGCCACTGGTAGGTTTGAACCACTGTCCTTGTGGTTCCAACTGACCTTGTGGTTGAGTGCTGATGCTACAGTGCCACACCAGGCATCTTAGTGTGGTGCTGTGGAATCAGCACTAGACTGAACCATAAGGTCAGTGGTTCAAACCCATAAACTGCTCCTCGGAAACGCCATACAGGGTCATTATGTGTTGAAACCGACTTGACATCACTTAACAACAACATTTAGGATCTTATAACAACAATCACTTATTCTCTCCCACAGTTTCGAGGGCCCGGAACTGAGGCCAGCTGGGCTGGGTGGTTCTAGCTCAGGGCTGTGGTCACCCACAGATTCATGAAAATTCCACTTCCAAGCTCATCTGCAGGGTTGTAGGCCAGAGAATTCATCTCCTCATTGCAGGTGTTTCTCCATAGTACTACTGCTCATGCAGGGAAGTAGGCTTCCCCCCAGGGAGTGATGAGAAAGAGAGACAGCCCCAAATGGAAGCCACAGCCATTCCCTCCCTAGTGTTGGAAGTGACATACCATATTTTCTGCTATATACGACTGGTCACTTCGATGAACCCTAACACCGTATGGGAAGAGTCACTCTTGGAACAAAGTACCATGCTGAGTGATTTAAGTTAACATAAATTCACAGTCTGGAAACTAGCTAAACTCAGAGCCATTGAATCAATTCTGAGTCATAGCAAGCCTATAGAATAGAGTGGAGCTGCCCCATAGAGTTTCTGAGGCTGTAAATCTTCCCAGAAGTAGACAGTCTCATCTTTCTTCTGCAGATTGGCTGATGGATTCAAACTGGTAAGCTTTCATCTAGCAGCCCCTCACTTAACCCACCACACCACTAGGGCTCCTCTGGAAGCTAGATAGAAGTTTGAAATCAAGGTGCCAGCAGGATCATGCTCCCCCTGAAGGCTTTTGGTGAAGGAGGTGTCCTAGCCTCTTTCTATATTCTAGTGGTTGCCAGTAATCCTTGACATCCCTTGACTTATAGCTACATCATTCCAATTTCTGCGTCTGTCTTCACATGGCTTTCTTTCTCTGTGTGTGTCTGTTTCATTGTTTCCTCTTCTTACAAGATCACCAATCATTGGACTAGGGCCCACCTTACTCCAAGATGTCCTCATCTTCATTTGGGTACATCTGTAATGATCATGTTTCCAAATAAAGTTTCTAATAAAGATTATACCTTGGACAAAATTCAGCTCACAAGGGACCAATGTAGTAGTGACCAAAATGGTTAAAATTGGTCTTTGCCAAAATGTGCTATCCATGTAGTATACATTATCCAAGTAGAGACTTTTGGTTCAGTCATGTTCCTGCTATTTTAGACCTTGAGCAAGTTACTAAGTAAGCATCTCTGTACCTTAACTTCCTTATCTCTATATTGGGAAAGAACATAACAGGAAAAAAGAGTTAATCCTTAAAACAAGGATTTGAAAGATGGAAAATTCCCAATATCCACTAGTTATATGATATATACCACAGTGTTTCCAATTGCCTCATATACATGCAAAAGCTGTGCAGCAAATAAGGAAGACTGAAGAAGAATTAATGCTTTTGAATTACAGTGTTGGTGAAGAATATTAAATATACCATGGTTTGCCAGGGAATGAACAAATCTCTCTTTAAGGAAATTGTTCCTTAGAAATGGGAGTGACAAGACGTCAGCTCACCTATCTTGATCATGTCATCAGGAAGGACCAGTACCTGGAGAAGGACATCATGTTTGGTAAAGGAGAGCTCTGTGAAAAAGAGGAAGACTTAACATGATGGATCCACACAGGAGCTTCAACAATCTGCTCAAACATAACAACGATTGTGAGCGTGGTTCGGGACCGGGCGGTGTTTCATTCTTTTGTACTGAGGATCACTGTGACTCAAAACTGACTTAATGGCACTAACAACAACAGCTATACACAGCATTATATGGATGAATAGCAGAATCGTAATGTTTTACTAATGATTAAGATATTTCAGAATATTTGCTCTCATGTTGGATAGGATTACCTAAGCAAATGATCAAAACATTTGTAGTGATTGAGTGATTTAGTAGCTATTATTGAAAATTCACTTTTGTGCTAGAATAATTACAACAATAAATCAAAAAATAAGAAAAATAAAAACCTCATGTGCTCGATCTGTTGTTAATGAAAGGAAAAGGCATAATTCGGATACTCAAGCAATTTTTGATTTAGCTACACATAGCTAAGTTAAATAATACATAGTCTAGTCCAGTGCCTAGATATGGTTGGTCCTCTGCCAGTAAGCATATAGGCCTCACACCTAGCTACAGCCAACGGAGCCCAGGTAACCTGGTGTCAAAGGAGAAGGTACAAACCAAGTCTGTGTTTATGTGACTTGTAAGAATGGATGAGGAACAACCGCTGATTATGGCTCTTAGTCACACTGAGGCCTAGAACTGAACTCACCCCCAAGACTCAGTGGTCACCTGCACAGTAGCTAGGTCTCTAAGGTGAACAGTAGCCCAAAACTCAGAAGACAGGGAGGGCTAGGAAAGGAGAAATGGAGGTGGGAAACGCAGGTAGTTAGTGTGGTGAGCAGTATTAGTTACATTATGTAACTGCAAGTCGGCGACATGAATCAATGATATTACATTGTGGGGATTGCAAGCAATGTTACATTGTGGGGACAGCAGGGCAGTGGTAATGAATCCGTCATTTCTATACAGGGGGACGTGGGACCTCCAGGACCCCCTGGTGTACCGGGCTCTGTGGTAAGTCCTGTGGTCATTAATGGTTGGAATCACAGACTCCTCCACCGATGGAATAAGAATGTTGGGAGAATCTGCTTTTGTAAGACTAGGGCAGAATGTGAGCCAGATCAAAGGCTTTCAACACTAACAAGGGGATAAAATCAGCAGTGGACATTGTTATTTTGTGGTGTGTGAACACCCAAAATGGACATTGTTTTATAATGTGGTGTGTTAATGCTGTGTCATAGTGTGATTTGTGAACACCCATAGTGGATATTGTTATGTCATAGTGTGGTGTGTGAACACCCGCGGTGGAGCTTGGGAAGTTAAACATTGGGGAGAAATTGTCAACCTTTGGTTTCCACTGATGTCTGGTTTGTCTGTCAGATGCAGAAAGCAGGACTGAAGGGCGAGCAGGTAAGAGCATCATGGGACCCTCTCCACCACTAGTCTCTGGATGGTAGCAGGTATAGAAAGGTTACAACCCTGCGTCTGAACCTGCCTGCTGAACTCAGATTGGGCCTTTCAGGGATGTGCCAAGTTGACATTCAGCCAAATGAACATGCTCACAAACTGCCTCCAGACCCCTCCTGGGAACTCGGCTTTGAGTGGGACAGTACCATGGTGGGGGTGATCCCTGTGATATGGAGAGTAGAGTCACCACTAACTCGTGTTTGGCTTGTGTTCCAGGGAGCTCCAGGGCCTCGAGGTCACCAGGGCCCACCTGGGCCACCAGGAGCTCCGGTGAGTCATTCCTGCCCATCCAGAGTCTGTTCTGGTTTCTTGGGACTCATGTAGCAAAATATCACAAAAGAGTGGCAACTTATAAGGATATAAATGTATTGTCTCACAGTTATGGAGGATAGTAGCCCAAAATAAGCCAACGAACAACACCATATTGCTGACTTGTAGCTTTCTGATAGAACAGCGTAGAATAACCTCATCGAGTTTCCAAGGCTATGATTCTTTACGGAAGCAGACTGCCTCATCTTTCTCCCACAGAGCTGTTTTCTAGAGGGTAAGAGAGCAGACTCACCGTGTCAGTACGGCCGTCCTCTCTCTGAGCACTGTAGGGAAATGTACTTCGGGGTCGGTCCCAGCTTTTGGTACCCCCGGGCAGGGGTTGGCATTCATTGAGTGTAGATGCAGTTTCACATGGTATCACCCTTCTGTGTCTCCTCTTCTATAAAGACTCAGCTGGGGTTGACTGGAACTCACCTACTCCACTGGGATCTTGTGTTATTTTAACCAATTACATCTTCAAAGATCCTATTTCCAGACAGGCCACATGTACAAGCACAGACATTTAGACTTGACTATATCTTTTGGGGTGCACACTTCAGTCCACATCTCTGAACAATTCTAGGTCTAGAGAAAAATCATTAAGTTCACTGCTGAGCTCAGCTTGACCTCAGAAGTTTATATCACCTCAACTTGCTCACAGAGGAGGAAACTGAGCCCAGCCAGGTGAATCTCTAGACACAGAACCTGCAAATAGCAGGCATAGAGCTGGAGTTACAGCCAGTCAATCTTCTGTCAGACGAACTTGGTAACAAAGTGTTCAACTGCTAGCCAAAATGTTGGCAGTTTGAGCCCACCAAACAGCTTCCCAGAAGAAAGGCCTGATGATTTGTGCCCATAAATATTATAGGTGGGAAACCCTGTGGGACACTTCTACTCTGTCACATGAGTGAATATGAGTCAGATGACTGAAAGACAACAGCAAATGAGTGTTTGTGAAGAGACCATTCAAGGGGACACTGGGACCATTCTGTGCTGTGAGTGAGCTTAGAGACAAAGGATAATCAATAACAAAGATCGATACAAACACAGCCTGCAACGCACCGCTGACGTTCCCAACAGCTTTTGTTTTTTAATCACCTGTAAATCAGCTTCACGTTAATGTATCCAGGCCCTAACCTCATTAGGGCACATGTATACGGTTGCTCTAGGATGACGCTAGAAGAAACTTACACAATGTCTAATTCAGTGTAATTAGAAAATTTTCATATCAACATACTCATATCAGAAAAATGACTTTCCATTTTTGTAACCTTAGTCTTGTTGCATAACCTCTCCCAGGCTCTATCTCACTGTGGAGAGCTCTACGTTCCATGATGCAACGAATGCAGTATGTTCTTAAATTGTCACTATCCTGGTGTGGTACTGGAAGATAAGCACTGAGCTTATTAACCACAAGGTTGGTGGCTCAAACCCACCAGCCACTCTTTGAAATGTTATACAGGGTTGCTCTGACTCAGAGCTGACTGGTAGCACTTAACAACAACAACAACAGTGTACACATGCATGTCTCTCTCAGATCCAAACTGGCAAGTACTGAGCATGTGTGCAATTGTATAGTTATTAATGTGAACACAATCTTGATTGTGTATTGAGTCTGCAAGGATGGAGGTGTTGGTGTCAAGATGGTGAGCAGTCTGCACAAAATCTCACAGCTCTGAGGAAGCAGAACTGGGCTTTGAAACCACATCCCTGTGACCATGAAGCCCACGCTCCTTCCATCACAAGTGTCCAGCGCAGTGAATCTTGGACTCAGGTGTGCGAAGGAGAAATTGTTTACTTTGGGATCCCTCTAAGGAATAGAAAGGAAAAGATGTCCAGTCCTGCTTAATCACAAGACAGGTTCTTAACCTCTCTTCCTGGAATCTGGGCAGAGAATATATGACAGTTACTTCTTTTACACATGCTCTGGTAGCACACTGGTTAAGTGCTGAGCTGCTGACCACAAGATCAGCAGTTTGAATCAGCCAGCTGCTCCATGGGAGAAAGAGAAGACTTTATGCTCCTGTAAAGACTTACAGCCTCAGAAACCCTATACAGAGTCCTTATGAGTCAGAACCTACTCCACAGTACATAACCAACCACCACCATCTCTCCTGTGCAGAGTTTATGCTGACTGGGAGAGAAAGGAGAGAATGAGCTTTAAACATTTGTGGCCACCTAGGCACTGTAGGTTAATGCACCAGACTGCAAAACCGTTTCAACTGCAAGGTTGGCGGTTCAAGCTCACCAACTGCTCCTTGGAAACCCTATACAGGGTTGCTATGGGTTGGAATGGATGGCACTTAACAACAACCTACCAGTTGCTCCTCAGAAATCCAGTACATGGTTGCTATGAGCTGGAACTGACTCAAGGGCACTTAACAACAACAACTACTTTATATAAGGAGCCCTGGTGTGGGGCTGTAGGATAAACACTGGACTGCTAACTCTAAAGTCAGTGGTTCACATCCACTAGCTGCTCCTTAGAAACCCTACACAGTTTTGCTGTGAGTCAGAACTGACTCGATGGCACTTAACAGCATGGATTATAGAGGGGTCCTGGTGTGGCACTGTAGGATAAGCATTGGACTGCTACTTGCAAAGTTGGCAGTTCAAACTCACACCTGCTCCTCAGAAGTGCCACACAGGAACTAACTCGACTGCACTAGACAATAAAAACAACAACAAACTTTACACAAGGGGCCCTCGTCCTTCTTTACACGTGGAGCTGCTAACCAAGTCTTCAGCTGCTAACCGAGAGGTCAGTGATTCAAACCCACGCAGAGGCTCTGAGAGAGAAAGAACTGGCCGTCTACTCCAGTGAAGAATACTGCCTAGAAAACCCTGTAGGGCAGTGTACACTGCTGACTCAACAACCACACACTACCATGGAATTGACTCAACAGAAAACAACAACAACTTTACATCAAGCAAAATATTAGATATTAAGACTGGAGTACCAGGGAGGGTAACACATAGACCCAGATCATAACCTAGGGAAGGTGACATGCAAAAACCCAAAAGGAATCATTGGAAGTCAACGTGGCATCTGTGGATGATTACTGGAAATTCCTCGTATGTATTATTTTGTGGCCCACTCTGCTGGACATGGGTGGGCCCTGAAACCTATATGCATCCAGACTCACAAACACCTCAATTGTGCTGTCCAACAAATGTCCAGGATTCTGAAGAGGCTCTTAGTAGAATGGGATTCAGTCCATCACATGGCATTGCTGGTGCAGTGTCTTGAAGCCAAGAAGCCAAGGGCCTACCCAAAGACTTGGTTGCAAAGAGACAGAGAGGTCCAGGAATGGAAGGTTTTTGAGGGTAGATCCAGGATCTCACCCCCATCTGAATCTAGGTGTCAGAATGACCTACAAGCTTACAGTAGGATGCCCCACAAAAGGTTCTCAAGAGGGTCCTAAAAGTGGGACCTGACCTGAATGTCAGTCTTCAGGGTGAGTTTTCTGGAAGCATCAGGAGACTCCTTGTACTTGGTCCATCCAGCTGCTTAACAACAACACCATTGAAGAGAACATGGTCATTGGGTGCCGCGGGAGGATAAGCACTGGAATGCTAACTGCAAGGTCAGCGGTTCACACCCATCAGTTATTCCTCCGATGCAAGATGAGATTGTCTGCTCCCATACAAATGTACAGCCTTGAAAACCCTACAATTGACTCACTATCAGTGGATTTGGCTGTTGGTTTGGGGGATGCAAATGCTTTGCTCTCAGTTACTAAACAAAAGGTTGGCAATTGGAACCTACCCAGAGGTTCCTTAAGACAAAGGCCTGGTGATCTGCTTCTGAAAGGCCACAGCTGTGAAAACCCTATGGGGTGAGGCACATGAGGCCACCATGAGAGAGTGGACCCCACAGCTGCTGGTAAGAGAAGCAGCATGAAGAAAAAAAAGCTAGGTCCTCAATATTGGTGGTGTTGGGTGCTGTCGAGTTGATTCTGGTACCTTGTGACCCTGAAGGACAGAGGAAAACTGTCCCACTGGCTTCTGGTTTACAGAAGTGGATGGCCTCACCTTTCTGCTGCTGCAGACAAACACTTAACCACCATATTGCCAGAGCGCCTTATTGTTCTAGAGCAACCAAGCAAACAAAAACCCAAACCCAGTCTCGCAAGCTGATTTCGACTCACAGCGATTGTGTCTGACTGAAGAGAACTGTCCCATAGAAGTTCCTAGGCTGTGGTAGTGTAGTGCTTACGAGTCGGGCTGTTAAACCTCAAGATCAGCAGTTTGAAATTACCAGTTATTCTGCAGGAGAAAGATGAGGCTTTCTGCTCCTGTAAAGATTTATAACCTCAGAAACCCTGTACAGGGTTTCTGTGAGTCAGAACCGACTCCGCGGCACATAATCACCAACCACCACCAACAGTCTTTAAAGGTGGAGTGCTGAGTCTCCATAGGATAAGCACTGGACTGTGCAGTTCAAGTCCACTAGCCATTCCACTGGAGAAAGATGAGGCTTTCTGCTCTTGCAAAGAATTATAGCAGGAAAACTTTATTCAAGGATTCTCTGAGTTGGATCTGACTTGACAGTACTTAACAGCAACAAGATTGTACAGGAGCCTGATCTCTTCACCTCCTGGGCACTTGGTGGATTCTAACTGCAGACCTTCTAGTTAGCAGTACAATGGTGGTTCCGTTGTACCTCCAGGCACCTTATCTCCTAAATACACTTCACTTAAAATGCTGTGAAGGGTGGCAATACGAGCTATTAGTGCAATCGTTGAATTTATTATAAATGAGGACATTGAAGTAGTGCAGAGAGGGAGTTTGGGCGACAATTCAGCCGACAGCTAATGATTCAGGACTGAAGTCAAGGATTTCAGGTGTGCACATACATCCCATACCTGGTCTAGGTGCCAGCATCCGGTGTAAGTCTAGGTGCTGTCAGCCAGGGCTGTTGTATGCATTCTTCATGTGGTCCACATGACCACTCAGTAGGTAGCAGTGTTACTCCACTTCCTAGATGAGCTAACTGGGGTCCAGCGATGTCAGGTTGCCAAGTGACTTGCCGTAGGTCATGTAGCAGACACCTGGTGGGGTGGAGGAGCAAGATGGACCTCAGAACTGTCTCTTCTCTAGGTCCAGTGAAACTGAACTTACACCATTTCATTCCTTTGTCCAGACTTTCATATTATTGACCGAACATCGGTAAACACACACCAGTTCTTTCTAAGTCCAGAAGCTACAGGTGTAAGGGAGATGAGCCTAGAGTTTAAAGACACTTAGGTTTCAGACAATAGTTTGGTGTGTACTTTATGCAAACCACAAATGCAAGCCATTTGATCCCAGTGTGCTCATCTGTAAAGTGTGAATAATGTTACTTATGCCTTGGTTGTTGTTGTTAAGTGCCATCGAGTTGGTTTCAATTCATAGTGACCCTGTATAGGGTTTCCGAGGAGTGGCTGGTGAATTTGAACCACCAACCTTGTGGTTTGAATTGACCTTGTGGTCCATCCAGTGCATTATCCCACCAGGACTTGAATTAGGTGAGCTCACTGTACATGGTTTACAGGTTTGTAGACATCTGGAAGTGTAAGAAGCTACTTCTCTCCTGACCTTCAGTTTCTCCATTGAAACTACACATGACAGTATTTCTCTACACAATGAGAGTAAATGGACAGAAGGTAACTGAGCTGTTGAAACCTGCATGTATCACTAGCTCTCTCTCTCTTTTCTTTCTTCCCATTCTAAAGGGTCTAACAGGCCCAGAAGGCAAGGATGGAAGCCCTGGTTTGCAAGGTCTTCGAGTAAGTATACAGTCTTCTCTTCCTAAAGCCCTAACTTACATCCACCCCTGGCTGCCATGTTAGACCTCAAACAGAGGAACTTGGGATGAATATTGGAATCCGGATGAAGCATTAGATGCAGTTAATCAGACAGATTGATGGCTTGTTGTGTGCTGGGTCTTGAGCTGGGAGCTAGGGAAACAAAAATGAGTCAGCTGTCTGCCTTGAGTCATAAATCCGGATACTTACATCCCTGTCTGGGCAGAGGGAAGCTCAGTGCTGAGGGAACACATAGATGGGGCAATTGGCCATGCCTGGGCATCAGCCAAGGCTCCTTGAAGGAGCTGATGCTTGAAGTAAGTCTTGAGAGCCAGAGAAAATGAAGAAAAAGGATTGTGGTCTTTTCCCATGCTATTAGGTATTTGATTCTAAACATTTATATTTTTATTGGGTATTATAATATCATAATATGAAAAGGCTAGACAATGAATAAGGAAGACTTAAAAAACAACTGATGCAATTTAATATGCTATTGATGAAGAATATTGTATATACCATGGACTGCCAGAAGAATGAACAAATCTTTGTTGGAGGAATTATAACAAGTCTGCTTCTTAGAAATGAGGGTAGCGAGACTTCATCTCACATATTTTGGACATATTATCAGGAGGCTCCAATCTTTGGAGAAGGACATCATGCTTGATAAAGTAGAGGGTCAGCAAAAAGAGAAAGACCCTCAACAAAATGAATTGATGGTGGCTTCCACAATGGGCTCAAATAACAACCGTTGTGAGGTTGACACAGGACTAGGCAGGGTTTCATTCTGTTATACATAGAGCTACTATCAGTAAGAACCAACCCAATGGACACCTACAACAGTCTCATAATATCTTCTGAAATCCTATTTAATGAATTAACTTTGATTTGGCACCTGTCTTCTTACCTAGATGGTAAGCCCCAAATGGATTTTGAATCACCAGTAAGTACAGCTGCTGGTGCAATACAGTGAGTTTTAAGAGAGGATGTAGGAGCACATGTGGGTTAGGTGCCTTCCTCGGTGCCCCCACAAGACAGTGGGCTGGGACTCAGACTCAAGCCTGTGTCCCCAGTTCCCAGCATGGTGCCCAAACTCAACCACATGAACTCTAACTCTGGAACTTGGGCCGTCTTTTACTAGGACACAGATAATTGCACAACAGGTGCAGCCTTCAAAAGGTGTCATGGACTGTTCTGGAAGTAGACAGTTTACTGATTCTCATGTTTTGTTCCCAGTTGGGTGGGAGTGGGCTCCGGAACCTGGTGGGGGGGACTGCCCCTATCAGCATTTTGATCTCTTTTAGAGGGAGATTCTGTAGTTCAGTCAAGTGGATGGTTCCTGGATTGACCAATTCCTGCTGTTCCCCATCTCCCTTCTTCTTCCTTCCACAAGTCCATCCATTCAACAAATATGTATTAAGCATCTACCATGTGTCAGAGACTGTTCTATACAAGTGGGACCATTCAGTGAGTAAAACAAAGATCCATACCCTCGTTAACTTTACAATCTAGGAGTCAAGAAACATTGTAAGAACTGGACTTATATTGATCTAAGAAGGGCTCTTGGTGTGGTGCTGTAAGATTAGCACTGGACTGAGAACCACAAGGTTGGTGGTTCAAACCTACCAGCTGCTCTTTGGAAACCCTTTACAGGGTCACTATGAGTCACAATTGACTTGACAGCAAGAAGAAGGTGAGGGAGATGACCAAGATGGCACCTGAAGGAAGGGCCACAGTAGTGACCCTGAGTCAGGCACGTCTTTGAAGACAGACACCTGTGTGCTCAGAAGAGAGGAAGCAGTGGGATAGTTGTTGTTGTTGTTGTTGAATGTCGTTGAGTTGATTCAGTGAAGGAGATGAAGTAGGGCACTTTCCTGGGAATTAGTTCCTGTAGGACTGTGGCCTTTGTAGAAACATTGTCTGCTACTGTGAGGTAAATGTGGAACTCTGAAAAAAAAAAAAAATATATATATATATATGTACAAAAACAGAAAAACTAGTAAAATAACCCCCATATACTCAACACCTAACTTCAACCCTGGTCAGTTCATGGATAATTAGTTTTATTTATACCAACACCTACTCTTACCCACCACTGAATGAGTTGGGAGCAATCCCAAATATTACCCATCACTTCACCTCTGATTAGTTTAGTATGTATCTCTAAAACATAATGAATCCTAAAGGAAACAGAACCAGAGCACTGTCAACTCTCCTAAATTACTGAGAAAGAACTCCTGATCCTGTATTCAGTTGATGCTCAGTGTCCCCTTGGCTGCCTCATGCTTTGGGCTGCAGTGTGTTTACTGAAGGGTTCTGAGTGCATGGGCAGCATGGCACATCTTTGCATCTGGGCAGAGCAAAGAGGAGCTGAGCTCAGAGGCTACCTGGTGATCCAATGAGAAAGGCTCGGACCCTGGGTGGGGGACTAGGAAGAGTGAGGGGCCTCTGAGCACCTGTGCTTGTCTTGCTCATATGACAAGCAGTGGGGCCACCAAGAAAAAGACAGAACTCAGACCTTGAAGGCCCCAATGTCTAACAAAGAAGATGGGAGAGTGGGTCAGGAGTTCACAGGTGAGTGATGAGGGTATTAATAGGAGTAGGAGAGAGGACAGGAGAGGGGAGCCTCTTGTCCCATGCCCCTTCATAAACGGAGAATGATCAACAGTTTCTTTGGGAGCCTTGATCCTCCAGAGAAGGTCCCTGGCTGACACAAAAGGCCAGCATGCTTATCTACTAACTGAAAGATTGGCAGTTCAAATTCACTTAGTAGCTCCAAGAAAGAAAGGCCTGGAGAGATATTCTGTTAACCATCTCAGCTGTTGAAAACTCCATGGAGCAAACGGATTTGCTCTGATGCTCTTGAGGTCACCATGACTTGAGGTAGACTCATAAGTGATGATGGGTTGGGGTCTTTTATCTGTACCTCTGCTAGTCACTGATGACTCCCTGCTTCAGTTGGTATCTCCTCCATGAATAGTGCTGGCTGAAGATCAGAAACTGTGGTGTTAGGATGGGTTTGGCCCTGGCTCTGGCACTGCTGCCTCTGGCTGAGTCAGGAAAACCAAGACAGCATGACTCACTCAAAAATTGCCATCTCTCTTTCATCCCCACAACTTGTCATTTCCTTGTCATCATCAGCCTAGGAGACCTTACTCTGAACAGCACTATAGTGTCAGTGTCCACAGGCCAAGCAGAGGGAAGATGTGACGATGAGAGTCACTCACAGAGCAAAGCCAAGGATACAGGGTGGGGATGGGAAGCTCACCCTGGGCATAGAGACGGCAGGCAGCAGACAGTGTGTCCTTGACAGAACAAATACCTTCCTTTGGACAAAGTGGGATTTTCCACACTGTCAATGAAAGGGGAGTTAGCCCCTCCATGCCATTGACAGTTTCCACACTGTCAATGAGAGGGGAGGGGCAGAGTTGTTAGCCCCTCCATGCCAGCCCCCAGCCAGATGTAGGAAATGTACCGCTGTCTGCAGGGGGATTGGGAAACAATGGCCCTTCTGAGTTAGGCTTTAGTCCGCTAACCTAAAGGTTGGTGGTTCAAACTTACCAGCTTCTCTGTGGGAGAAAGATGAGGCTGTCTGTTCCCATAAAGATCTGCAGTCTGAGAAACTCTATACAGGGGTCACTATGAGTTGGAATCACAGTGGGGCTTTGGTTTGGTTAAACGGCATGAGGGCAGAGAAGTGCCTGCTTTTCCCTTTCTGAGATATTGATTCCCACCTGGTTGTCTCAGCTAATCCTTGTTGGAAGTGGTGATGGATGAGTGAACTTTGACTCATGGCAATGATATATAGGTCAGAACAAAGTGCTGCCCAACCCTGTGTGCTCCTGGTATGTTTTGAAAGTAGCCTCAGTGCACCTTGTGGAGATGTCCCCACGTTCGGCTTCCCAAACATCATCATCTTGTACAAGAGTTGGGCTTTCATGTAGACATGTGCACAATATGCAAGTCAAGCGAAGTCTCACCATCCTCGCTTCTGAGGAGCGTCTTACCTATGTTTCTTCTCAGGCTGTGAATCACAAGGTTTTCGTGGATGGATTTTCAGAAGTAGATTGCCAGACCTTTCTTCCTAGTCTCTTTTGGTCTGGAAGCTGAGGGGGCCACCTCTGGTATTTGAAATGTCCATGGCAGAGCAACACACAAACCACACAATATAACTCCCTGGCAAAGGAGTGGTAGGGGCCAATAGTTGAGGACAATCTACCAGGGAGCACTCAGGGATGACTGAACACTTGGGTAAGCGGGTGGGGTTGCAGGTGTTATCTGAACCCCAGGAAGTTCAGTCAGTAGAGCTGAGGCCCTCAGCCACTGAAATTTCTAGAAGGTGCACTTTTCTTAAAAATTCTGTCATCCCCTAATCATCCACTCCAAACCACCCTCACACCATCCTGTTTCAATTTTCTGCAAAGGAATTGCCGGGTATTTTTCTAATTTGAAAATATGTTTATGGATGCGCATTTCTGATGGAGTACAGCTCAAAATGAGGAGAAAAAGTTATAAATGTCAGTTAATAATTGGAACATGGAATGTACTAAACATGAATTTAGGGAAATTGGATGATGCCAAAAATTAAATGGAATGCATAAGCATGGGTATCCTAGGCACTAGTGAGACAAAGTAGACAAAATTGGCAAAAATATGTTTTACTATCCAGGGAACAACAAATTGGAAAGGAATGGCATTGCATTCATCATCAAAAATAACATTTCAAGATCTATCTTGAAGTTTTATATGATAAGATAATATCCATACATCTACCAGGAAGACCAGTTGATAGCAGTAATATTCAAATTTATGCACCAACCACTAAAGTCAGTGATGATGAAATTGCAAATACCTTTTTAAACAACATAAAAAAAACAATTATGCACATAGACCTCACCAAATGGAATACATGGAAATCAAATTAACAATATATGTCAGAAGAGATGGTGGAAAAGCTCATTATCATCAGCCAAAACAAGACCAAG